TGGTCTCACCCAAGATGGCGGCTCCTGGAGCAGCTGAGCATCCCGGACTAGAAAGCAATAGATTTCTTGCTTCTGCCACAAATTCCCCCAGCTGTAAGCCTTCTAACCTTCTAATTATTCCTTTATATGTGATTCAGAGTTCTGGGACCAGCCCCGAGCCTACTTGTTCGGGTATTCTGTGTTGTTGTTGGCGGAGCTCTCTGCTATACGTCCACCTGATCCGCCATCTTTCTTGTTCTCTGCTCATTTGATTTCTTGACTTTTGCTTCCATGGGCCTTGACTATGGATCCAAGTAAAATAGAAACCTTTTTCCATTTATCATGATTTAATTGTTTATTCTACACTAAGTTATAATGCATTCTGAAGGCTGTATTCTTTGATTTTCGTCAGCAAGTGTCTTAAGTCCTCTTCATTTTCAGCAAGCAAGGTTATATCACAGGTTGTTAATGAGCTTTTCTCCAATCTTGATGTCACATTCTTCATATTGTCCAGCTTCTCAGATTATTTACTCATTATGCAGATTGGACAAGTATGTTCAAAGGATACAACCGTGATGTACTTTTCCAGATTTTAAAACATGCAGTATGCCTTGTTCTGTTCAAACAACTCCTTCTTGGTCTATTTACAGTCTCTGCATGTACAAACTTAAGTGTCTGGAATTCCCATTCTTTGCAGTGTTATCTATCGTTTATTAGAATCCACATAGTAGAATGCCTGAGTATAGTCAATAAGGCACAAATAAACACCTTTCTGGTATTCTCTGCTTTCATCCAAGGTCTGTCTGCTATCAGCAATGATATCCTTCATTCCACATTCTCTTCTAAGTTTAACTTGAGTTTCTGGCAGCACCCAGTTGATACACCGCTGCAACTGTTTGTGGATTATCTTCAGCAAATTTTACTTACATGTAATATTAATGATGTTGTTAAATGATTTCCACATTCTGTACCTTTCTTTGGAATGGGTACAAATATTGATCCCCTTCCAGTTGGTTGGCCAGGTAGCTATCATCCAAATTTCTTCACATAGACTAAAAGTATTTCCAGTGCTGTACCAGTTAGTTGAAACATTTCAATTGCTATTCTGTCAATTCTTGAAGCCTTGTTTTTTTTTAATACCTTCAGTGTAACATGAACTTCTTTCTTCAATACAATTGATTCTTCATCAGATGCTGCATCCTGAAATGGTTGAATTTGGTATAGGGATTCTGTATATTTTTCCCATTTCCTCCCCCCCCCCCAACCTTCTATTGTGAATTGAGTGACGATTTACAGAGAAGATTATCAGTTTTATATTCAACAAATCATATACCTTATTTCATCTCAGTCCCTTCCATTGTAACAGTAGTTATCCCATGTCCTACCTCTGGTTCCTGTTTCCATTCCACCCTCCTTCTTCTCATCCTTTCTCAACTTTGTCCTTAGGTAAATGTTATCCTTTGGATCTTGAATGATTGACTGTTCTATGGTAAGCATATCTTACTAGTGTTGTTGTCCCTACTATATACTTTTCTACTGCTTGGCTGAAAATTGGACTACGAGGGTGAATTTCATTCCAGACATGCAAGGTGGCTGAGGGCCATAGTCTCGGATTCCTCCAGTCTCTTTCTGACCAGTAAGCTCAGTCTTGTTTTATAATTTTGAGTTTTGTTTCACATTTCTTAACACTCTATCTGGGACCCTCTAATGTGATAGTGGTAGTGGTCGTTGGTAGTGGTTTCTGGGCACCATCCAATTCTTGTCAGACAGTCATGGTGACTGATAGTTACCTGCTCCATTGATATATTGGTTAATTCTAAGTGTCTTCAGTTTTTATCACTCTTCTTTCTTGTGCACATGGAAAGACCAGTAGTTGCACCTTAGAAGGCTGCTCATGAGCTTTTAAGATCCCAGATGCTACTTACCGAATTAGAATTTAGAACATTGTCTTTGTGGACAATGTATACAAGTTGTGTCTCAGGGTGTCCCTTGAGGCTATGGTCCTGAGATCCTGGCCCAGAAACTCATTGCCTTCAGATGTTTGATAGCATCTAAGTTTTCATAATTTTGCCCCCTGTATGCTCCACCACATTCATAGGCATGTTTGCAGCAAAGGTAAATACCCATGTACAAATATCCTCTTTCAAACCCTTATATATTTGTGGGCATATTCCCACACTCCCACCCATACCTGTTCAATCTGTGTACCTATCTGTCTTTGTATCTACCCATACACAAAACACTGTTGTTCCAGGGTTGTGTATATAATACTATTTACATTGTTGTTATGTGCTATCGAGTCGGTTCCGACACATAGTGATCCTGTGTAGGGTTTCGAGAGAGTGGCTGATGAGCTTGAAATGCTGACCTTGCAGTTCAAATTGACTTTGCAGTCCAGCACATTAACCTACAGCACCACACCAGGACTCATGTATCCCCTTTAACGCTTGCATACCTTCCAGTGTCTTCACCTTTCTTCATCATTCTTTTGCCAACCTCCTTGATTTTGTATATTGCCCTCTCCATCACCCAAGTTAACTTGTGTCTACCTTCTAGACAGTGAATTATTCTCCCTTCCCTCCCACACTTGGTAACCATCAAAGAATTATTTCTTTTAGCATGAAAACCTTCCCTTGATTTTTAACTATTGACTCATACAATATTTGTCCTTTTATAATTAACTAATGTAACTCACCATAATGTCCTCCAGATTCATCCATGTTGTATGGTATTTCACAGATTCGTTATTACTTCACCATTGCATAGTATTACATTGTGTGTATGTACCAAAGTTTCTTTATCTACTCTTCTACTGATGGGCATTTAGGTTATCTCCATCTTTTTGCTATTATGAATAGTGCTGTAGTGAATGAACATCAGTGTGCATATACTCATGTCATGGTTCTTATTTTTGTGGTTATATACCAAATAGAGGAATTGCTTGATCATATGTTATTTCTACTTCCAACTTTTTGAGGAAGTGCTGTACCATCTCCCCTAGTAGTTGCACCATTTTACAGTCCCACCAGCAATGTAGTAGAAGGGTCCCAGTTTTTCCACACTCACCAGTATTTGGTGTTTTCTTGTTTTTGAACTTTGCTATTAATGCTGGGGTGAGATGATATATCATTGTTGTTTTGATTTGCATATCTCTAATGGCTATTGTTGGAGTCCTGGTGTGGCGCTCTGGGCTAATGCATTAGACTGCCAAAGTTGTTTGAACTGCAAAGTCAGTGGTTCAAGCTCACCAGCTACTCCTTGGAAACCCTATACAGGGTCGCTATGGGTTGGACTATGGGTCGGAATTGACTCGACAGCACTTAACAACAACAACAATGGCTAATGTCAGTTTGCTGTACTGTGGTAGTTTGTGTGTTGCTGTGATTCTAGAAACTATGCCACCGGTATTTTAAATGCCAGCAGGGTCATCCATGGTTAATAGGTTTTCAGCTGAGTTTCCAGTTGAAGACATACTAGGAAGGAGGAATGGAATACTTCCGAATATTTAGTCACTGAAAACTTAATGAATAACAGTGGAACAATGTCAGTTAGAAAATTGAACATTGAAACATGCTGAAGAGCACTAGAATATTGTCAGATATCATGCCAGAAGATGAACCCTTCAGATTGGAAGGCACTCAAAACACGACTGGGGAAGA